TGCAATCGATAACAAGGACACTGGTCGATGATTCTTTGGCATGCTCGGATCTCCGCCTTTGAAGAGTGGCGATATCCTAGCACTTTTCATCTGGGCAGGAAATATGCCCTCTCTCATGGACTTGTTAAAGATCAAAGTCAGGGATGGCGCCAGTACGTCTGCATGTGCGCGGAGAAGGGCTGCAGAAATGTCATCATCACCGCTGGACTTGGCCGGATTTAAACGTTCGAGGAGCTTCCTCACTCTGGCAATAGACACTGGCGCAAAGGCTGTCAGATCAGTGCTTGAGGCGGGCCCGTAGGGAAATGAGAGATGCACTGGGCGGCTGGCGTCCTCTACTATCTCTGCAAAGGTGTTTCGGATGGCATCAACAGAACATTGAGGTGGCTGAGATTGTCGATGTTTACCACTCAATTCTTTGATCGTGTGCCATGTCTGTTTGGTATTGCCAGACGCAGCTCGAAACTTGGATTGGTAGTAGGTCTCTTTCTGTTGCCTATTATAGCTGGTAGCTTCCCGCCTGGCAGCCTTGAAAGCTGAGTGGGAATGTTCTGTTCCATCACTAAGCCACCTCCTATGGAGCCGGTTGCGCTTGGTCAAGAGGTGTAATAACTGGCGGTTCATCCATGGTACTGATTTTTTCTTGCGTCGAGGGCTTGGTGCAAGTGGAGCATGTCTGTCTAACACTTGTAGAAAGCGGCTGGCCCACTCAGTCCACATGACAGTTGGGCTTCCGTCAATTTCACAAAAATCCTGTTGGACCAAATCTGCCTTGAACTGGTCATGATTTATGTTTCGGTAGTGTCGCCGTAGCCCAGAAGTTACAGTACTTCTTACTGGGCTGAGTTGAAATTCACTGAGAACTGCTGCATGGTCACTGAACGCGATGGGGATAACAGTAGCCATATTTAGAGGGTCGAATGTATTGTAAAATTGATCCAGTGTGGTTGGTGCAGAGTTTGCTGAGAACCGAGTCGGCTGGTGAACTCCGGGATATAAACTGTAGCTGGCCACGAGGTCAGATAGATAATGAAGCTGTGGATCTGGAGGTGCTGTTGGATTGGTGTTTATGTTGATGTCGCCACAAATAATCACGTTCTTCCCGGGCATTATAGCTGAATGGAGATGGTCGTCCAGGCAGTCCCAGTATCGAACTGGCTCAGATGGAGGTCGATAAATGGTTCCTATCAAACAAGTTCCAGATTGGCAATGGATTTCTCCCCAGCAGCTCTCAATTGCCGATTCTGTGAGGTCCATTCTTGGCTTGACCAGGAGGGATGCCTTGGAGTACAGGCAGACTCCTCCACCGGCCTGATCTTTTCTGTCTGAGCGCAGTATGTTGAAGCCATCCAAAGCTATCTCTCCATCAGACACGGTGTCGTCTAGCCAGGTCTCGTTGACACAGATGATGTCAGGACTGTGAAGGTCGGCAAGCCATGCCAGCTCTCCAACTTTGTTCCTCAGGCTCCTAATGTTCAGCAGTAAAATTCGAATTGTTGGAGTTTGCGTTTGCATATTCAGTTCATGAGCAGCAGGGTCGTTGCCTAATCTTCTTCCAGTCATTGCACAGATATATTATCCACATCCTGACTTAGAGATGCAAATGCGTTGCCAACAGTGACACTAAACTTCGCAGCTTGCGTCTCGGGCGGCGAGTCACGCTGATAGCCCCGTGATTTCTGGCCTGGAGTCCGGGCCGGTGCTCCACAGGTGTCATCTAGGATATCGCAATCCACGCCGTGTCCGCTCTTACTGTCGTCCGTTCGGCTGCTGCTGCTGTTGGTGGTCGTGGTGCTGCTCTGCGCTGTTTGTTGATCTCCACTGGCATCAGACTGGGTGTACTTATCGAAGTTCCACTCTCTTGTGTACACAGGCCTTGGCCAGAAGCGCTTGTTGCTGAGAAACGATTCGTCCGCTGCACTGGCAACAATACGCGCAGTGGAGGATTTTTCTTTTTGAAATATTTTTACGTCAAACACTTGGACATTGTGGTCAGCCTCAGCTGCTCTTGCTGCGATGAACTCCTTCAGCTGGTCTGCAGTAATTGCATGCATCAGATTTCCGACAAACAGGACTCTCTTCTTCGCTGTGGGTTTGGTGGAGGTGATGAGTCGCCATGTGGCGTCCGAATCCTCACTCATCTCTTCAAATTTCGGCAAGCGATCCACACGTGCCGGGGTCAACTCCGAGCTGGGTCCGGGTGTACCATGTGTACGGGAGTTGGACGGCTTGTTGTTTGAGCTGTCAACGTCGGATCTGACACTGCTAGTCAGGTCCATCTCGGGATCAATGGGTCGTGAACTCTCTACGGGTACGGCGGACTGTGAACGACTTTCTGTGCCTGTACTACGTTTCTTTCGATTTCGGCGCTGCCTCTGGCTGGTTGTTTCTTGCTCTCTCTCTTGGTCTGCAATGGCGGAGGAGTTTGATTTACAAGACGCACACGTAACATTGCCGATGTCCAAATTT